GACATCCCACTGTTTTTCTCAGCAGGAAACTTCAGGACAGAGAGACCAGGTATTCCACAGTTGAAAAAGAATGCCTCGCAATTAAGTGGGCTGTGGAATCATTGCGGTATTATCTGTTGGGGCGCTCTTTTACCCTTGAAACAGATCATAGGGCGCTGAAATGGTTGCACCAAATGAAAGACTCTAATATGCGTATTGCAAGATGGTATCTGTCATTGCAGCCTTTTGATTTTACAGTGCAATATCGGTCAGGGAAGTCTAACCTTGTCGCTGACTGTCTAGAATTGATGAGGATTGAACAACTGTTGTCCTGGGTGAAGGGGGGAGGAAATGTGATGGAGAGCAGAGGCTCCATCCCTATTACCGGTAATTGATATTTATTTATAGAACAGATAGTTTGTTTAATATCTTTATTTCAGTTTGTGTTGTGTTAATTGGGGTTTACCTTCCTGGTGTGTCTCCTTAGAAGGGTGGAGCATACCATGTGAGCTAAGAAGGATAATACTCGAAAGTTAGGTTATATTAAGTTTGATTTAATTTCTTGATTGACTTTAGGATTAGTTGTTTCTAAGTTGCATGCATGTAAATATTTATTTGTACCCTTTATTTTGTGTTGGGTTTGTAAATAATTTATGGTTGTTTTGTCACCCCTTCACCTGGTGTGGAGTGGGAGTGGCCAAAAGCTAAATCCAGCTGCTGTGCTTGGCAGTAAAAAAAATGGGTGTCGGTGTATTGGTGAACTGCAGCACCAATAAAACATATTCCACCAAGTCTTGTTGCCTCACCTCCTTCTAACGCAGTGCCGCTCTCGGAGAATGACAGTAGTATGTAACCAGCTTTGGTACTGAGAGTGAACAAACTATTTTAAATAAAGACAAAAAATTAAAATTGAGAAATTCAATTGACAATTACATTAAAACAAATATAAAACATGCAATCTTTGAATTATTAGTGGCCCATTGTGCTGCCTAAAGGCAATTTATGTATAGAGCAATTCACATAAGTTGCTCTACACAGAAGCAAGATCACACATTTTCAAACGACACATCCTCAAAAGAGATAGGATAGGATCACTCCACAAGAACAGTTTCTTCCCATCCACTACCAGCCTTAAATAGCACTGCCTCTCTCCCTCCCCAGTTCAGGACCTACCAGCTACACCAATGTAGCATCTCCATATCTTCTGCATTACATTTATGCACACTCTACTATGTAAATAGTATATAGCTATGTACTATATATTGTATATATCTTTAGATTCTGTATGTATATTTTGTCTGCATCATCAACACCAAGTCAAATTCCTTGTAAGTGCAACCCTGTCATGGTTTTGCTTCTGTGTAAGTTTTATCTTTGAGTTTCATTAGATTTATTTCCATTTTGTGTCATTCTAGTTATTTTTTTTATTGTATTTCAGTTCTAAGGTATTTATTGTTTGCCCTATGTTGCCCTCTTGTGTCAAGTTCCTTCTCCTATCTCCCTTCTAGACTCCTCTGTTCACACCTGCTCCCAATTTGCTGATAAGCCGGGTCTTTGTTTCTCTCTCCCATATACGCATCTCCTGCTCAGACACTGTTGTTGGTTAGTCGTCATTTCATCCCCTTTGAGTGAGTTTTTGTTTGTTTTTTTGTGGATTCTCAGAATTTATGTTTTTGGATTTTTGCTTCTGTTGCCCTTTTTGGTCAATTAAATCTGCAATTAACCAACTTCAGCTTCTGCGTTTCTGTCTGCATTTGGTTCCTGTCAAACCTCCACCCAACTTGATACAAACCTACTTGGCAATAAACTTGATTCTGATTAGAAAATAACAAATGTCAAATATTTTTTATGCAGTGGTTGTCTTTGCAAGAGATTAATAAACATATAGCAAAGAAACTTTAGTCACACCATGTAAAAAGTAATTATGTGTGCCTTGTTTTATTTGTGTATTGTTGTGTTAGTCAAGCTTAAAGAGATGAAAGTTGGTTTTTCTTTTCAGCAGAGCAAATAATACCCCTTTTAACTGCTCAATAAAAGATGATGCTGCAAAATTGGATGCCAGCAGGAGCTCTTGGCATGGCATGAGAGTAAAAGATGTTCACGATTCAAAACCAAGTGGAACAATAATTAAAACCTAACTGAATCGTGGATTTAAACACCAAATGCATCCAATTAAGGAAATCCAAAGGTGGTAGGAGCTGAAAATTGTTTCCTCTTATTTATCCATTTGTTTAGAAAATGTTGCTGAAATTTGTAAAAAAAAAAACCACTGACACTGAGATAAAATCTACACTTAGATAACCCAGACAAAAAATCTAAATAAGTAGCCCCAAGATAGGGTAACAAGTGTAATCATGCACAATTTATCAGATACTTTAAATAAAAACTATTTTCTGTATTAACAACTTCAAGAGATTTAAGTTGTCATTATAGGGCATAGTGGCTTTGCAGGGATAACTGCTTGACCTGTGTACAGAGGCTTTGGTCCTCGGTGCAGCCGTTGCAGGTTCAAGTCCCAGCCTGTTAACCTTTGCGAAATGTCTTCCCCCTCTATAATCCCAATTTCTGTCTGCCCACTTTCAAAAATAAAAACAAGGCCACTAAAGCCTTAAAAAAATCTTTACTTGTCATTGTGCATAGAAATGATCTGACCAGACTATATCCTAACAGTATTTCATAGGCACTTTTTAAAATCTTCTGCAACAAATAAGATTCACTATGTTCTTTTTTAGCAATGGAGTTTTGTGCAATGGATGTACAAGAGTCTTTTAAAACTGAGTGCATTATCTTTGCTTTCATTTAAAATCGTTTACCACCTGTTTGCAATTCTTGCTCTTTGCAAGAAGTGAAATAATTTACCCTTGACTTCCAAATTATTGCTTCAATGGAGACAGTAGGACTTTTTTATGCTTTGACCATTTGTATTCCTCTATATATGATTACTTTGTAAAAACTGATATATTTCAGCTGATTTCTTGGCTTTCTATGCCATTTTCACCAAAATGTGTTTCTTGTGTCTTGTGTTAGACCTTTTTTTTTTTTACCTGCCATGTTTGCTCTATCTCTATGTGGATTGCTGTAGTTGCTACATAAATCTTATGTATTTTCTTTGGTGGCTCAAATAGTAATATTTAAATTGAGGAATGTTGGGGTGTTTATTCCCTATTTTACCTGATTTTAAAGCACAAACTAAATACAGTTTCCTCTTAAATGTAGGTTTATATTATAAAGATATAATCTTATTTTATCACCAGTATTAAAGCATATGCTGTCTTATGGTCCAAGATGCCCTCTAACAGACTTTTTTCTTTATTCAAACATAGTAGTTTAGCCAGAAATACCTGCTTCTAAGTAATTACGCATAGTTTTGTTTAGCAATTGTACAGGAATTGCTGAGCTGCTTGAAGATGGGCTCACACAAGCTGACATAAAATAAAGTGGAACACCGTGTTCTGTCCCATTGTGTTTCACTCACAAGACATAAACTGATCAACTCTTATTTTTAGCTAACATCATATTATTTACAGAAATGTAATTCACAGATCTTTATGTGGTTGCTAAAACAAAAATACAATAATGTTCTTAATCGGCTCAACACTTTCAGCTTTGTATTGATTATATTCATGCAACAAACATAACAAGGTTTAGAAAATAAGAGAAATATGTTAAATAACTGGGTGAAAATAGAAAGACAGTTTTCATAAAGCCTGGTAATTGTGAGACTCTTGCAGAGGCAGACAGCAGGAGCTGTCCATAGTGCTGAATCAGCCACCCATGCTGGGGTGTCCATGCACTCTGTGGATTGCGCAATCACCTACACATGCTTGTTTAACCTACATGACTACATTTTTTTGGTTTTAATTCTATCACAAACAGGGGGGCCTGAATAAATTATGCATTTTTGTTTGCTGTAAGCAGTCATCAGTATAGAAATGTGAGGAGCCATGCACTGTTATTGTAGTAACAGAAGCTTTTCCTGCTTGCCGATGAAAAAAATTTATACAGCTGCCTTCATATAAAAATAAATGTTTTATTGTATCAGGTTTACTTCATTTTAAGCTCAATTCTAAATGTATGGAAACATTTTAATTCTATTAGTTGTTTTAGATTGCAGTGTTTCACCACGTATTAGAGTTGAAACTGTTAATCAGATCACCCATGATTAAGATCATAATGATTAATGAATAATCATTAAATGGATGCACAATAAAACATTTAATTTGCTGAGAAAGTAACACACTTCTTACTTAACCTAAAACTGTAAATTTATATGTTAATTTTGAATTTAAAATAATAAAAGAATGTCTTTAAATATGCTCTAAAAGCCTTGAATTCATTGCCTCTTGCATTTTTGTTTTATTCAGTAGGCAGTTTATACCATAACCTTAAAATCCCCCAAAATCTAATGAATATATTTTCCAGCATTTGACTCTTTAATCATCAGTAAATTCCTTAAAAAGTCTGTTGGATCAACCCCTTTCGTATTTTTTATGCCTTTTGTTGTAGGGTCCAAATACTGCAGGTGGCAAGTGGCACTTTTATTTTAAAAGTCCAAGATGGCTGATTCAAAAAACACTTTAGGATACATACTTTTTTGTTGGAGACATGGTATAAAAAAGAGAAAAAGGGAAATAAATAATATTTTTTTGTTATATCAAAAACTTTTAGAGAGAAATGGGGATCATCATCAGTTATACACTTTATATTTAATTGCAATGTCATTGCAAGTTTAGCTACTTTCACATATGTTTATAATATTTTGTTTTATGCTTTTAACAGCTTTAATAAGTCTTTTTTTAGTATAGGTTTATTCCAATCAACATTTCTCAGATGTATGATTATCAGGCTGGTTTGACTATGGTCAATTAGCCTACATTCTTCCCTTTTAGCTCTAATTAAATAATTAAGCACTATTACCGTCATTATTATTCATCCAATCACGTGCTTGCTTTATTCAGGTGTTTGGACCAATCAGAACACGCTGAGCAATTTCTATCGCCGAGATTAAAGTTGTTGAAGGAGCGCGTGTGCGCGCGCGAAGAGAAATACTAACCGGGGCGCGAGACAAGCGAGACAAGGCGGTGGATGAAAAGCAAGCATTACTGGATATCCATTAATTCCGATATTGTACTGGTTGCAGTTATTTCCACCCGTTTATAAGCGTAAAGATGAAATGAACAGGGTCGTTTTTAAAGGATTTGTCTTTTTTTTTTTTTTTGGTGGATTTTGTGTTGGGATCCTGAGACGTCCAGTCATCTCTTCCACGCCATATTTCACACCTCTGTATGAATAGTTTTGTCCTTCTTCTTTCTTTGTCGCCACGGACTTCTTTTTTTGCTACAAGAGGAACATTTCTACTTTTCTGAGATGACGGAAATCAGCGAAAAGGAGAGCGAACCTCAGAGCCGGGACCTCAGCCGGCAGGGCTCCACCGTGCCCGGTCAGCCGGAATCAAAGGTAACACACCTGTTCACAGAAAAGAAAAATAAACAATAACAGCTTTAGAACAACAAAACCAACGATTAATTATTTAAACTAATGATGAAGGGCTGTATGACATCTTGAACGGTCATTAATAAGACTAATGCGATATTTTTTTTCTAAATAACTGTCTGAAAACATTGTGAAATCTATTTCAATAAAAATATTGGTAACTTCAGATGGAAATTGATGACTAGGCTCTTTCTGCCTTACGAAGCTAATTCCGTGGTGGCTCTGGGTGTTACATAACAACTCTAAGCTACTGTAATTCACCCACCTTGCCTGACCTTTAAAGTTAGAGCGCTGAGATTACACCAATGTGTGCATGTTCTCCTTGAGATGTGCACTGTTAAACCTTTCTCTCTGGAAAAATGCATTTTCTTGGTTCCTATTTATAATATCCTCTTTTCATATCAAATGGTTTTCTATAGCATTTTTCTCTGGAAATTGAGATGGCCATAAAAAAATTAACAATATACCTAGAAAATCATTTTCCATTATTATCCTACTTTGTAGTTATAACTATTTTCTATTTTGCTGTCAAAGTCTATCAATGTTTGATTTTTATTTAAAATCCACTGGAGTGTATACACTGAAAAAGAGATTTCAATATAAGTCCTTGAAATTAGTGGATTTGCACTTGATCTGATTAAAACATTATATAAAATAATTGACCAACTGAATAAGATCTTTACACTAAAGATGGAGGAAAAACATGTCCATCTTTTCAAGTGCAGTGTAATTATTTGTCCTATTTTAGGAGCCAACATACTAACTTTATAGAGGAACTTTACTTACCTCATAAAAATGAAGGGAAAATACACTTATTTTAAGAATTGTATTAATTTTGAGATAAATTTTTGAAGTGTATTCGAATGATGCCATTCACTCAGTATTCCATCTAGTGTTCTTCAAACTGGGGAAGAAATACCTTTTCTTAGTTTTATATTATGGATTTAGATACTGCCTTTAGTGGCCAGAGGTTGGAAATATTGGCCTTTATGTCACATCATGTTTATACAGAAACAGAAAATGATGGACTAATATTAAAGGTATTGTGAAGGATTTTTTAAAAGACCCGCCCTCTCCACTTTAAATAAAAATGCTCATGCAAGAGCATGCACAAGCCCATTTCTCCTCATGCCCGCCCCGTTTAAAATATGCTGTTCTCACAGCTCATACAAGCTTACTGTGTCCACATACAGCAGGGACTATAAAGTGGACTTTACAGCAAACTCAGTTAACTTTCCATTCGGACAGATGGTCACTGCTTTTGCTCTGTTGGCCACGTAACTCATCCTCCTCATCCGCCTTCGCCATCTTTGTTATTAGCTGCCGCTGTCAGGTAGCGACAGCGTATCGTGACAGCAGGCCGCTGTGACAACAAATCCCATAATGCTTTGCGAGGACAGTTCTCCACGCAAAGCATTCCGGGATATATCTGCCTCTTCTGAGGCCTTTCTTTTCTTCTCATACACTTCGTAGACACTTTTTCCCTTACGACCATCGGCCAGTTTCAAAGAACCATGGTGAGAGAGGTGAGCTTCAATGACTGTCTGTATCCATAGCTCACCACATATGTACGCCTGAAAGTGCGCATGCGAGGAGAAAGATGGCTAATGGGAGGAGCATGTAGGACGGCCTTACGTAAACATGTCCCCAGAATGATTGACAATTAGGAGGACCACTTATTTGGATGATCCACCCACAAATAAAAGATTGTCCTCTATACCTTTAAGAATTGCCACAACAGTGATCAACTTAAAATAATGTATGGATTAAAACAATCTAAAGCTACATTTTTCTCTTTTTCTCATTTAAAGAACTGTTTGGATGCAAACGCATTTGGGTTATTACATTTGAAGGGAGATGTAAAAACACTAGTTTAAATGATGTCTTTGCCCCACTGGGTAGATTACATTAACCTTGATGGAAAAAACTTCATAGATTTCAGGTAACAAAATGGTTCAGCTCATATAAAGTGATTAGGCAATTCATGATGAAAAACTGTAAAATAAAATGTTATTTTCACAAATATTTTAATTCTTGAGTTTGTGCAACTGTTTTACACAGGGATTGTTATAATGTTTGGCAGAGATTTTCTTTTTTAAACTATCAATGTTTAAATTTTTTCCACAAATGTAAGCCTGATCTGTTTTGTGTGTCCCAAAGTCTTCAATGTGCTCTTTGTTCTTTGATATACTTAAAAAAAAAAAAATCAGAACAACTAATGAGATTGTTCTACACTGTTTGACCCTATTTACTAAGGAACTTGCAGAGTTAAATGGCTGCACTTAGTTTTATTTGGTGTCAGGGTTATTTGGGTTGAATATGAATACACATGTGCACTATAATTGTCAACATTTTATCTTTATAAAAATAAGTTAAAGTTCTTTTCAAATAACATTAAAGTTTGTGTTTATCTTAACTCAATAAAATGTAAGATGTTTAAGTGGTATTAATAGTTTTGCAAAGCAATAAAGCTGCCTCACACTTGCTGGTAATTCTAAGGTGTGGATTTACACCTAATCTTGTAGTATTTTAATGGTTTATACTGCTTATCTTATTAAATTATCTTCAGATAAAACCTTGGACACGCTCAGACTCATTAATTTGACCCCTGACTCAGTTTTTTTCTCACTCTCAGCTCAGCTGCAACCATTTATTGCTTAATTACTAGTGGTTTGATCTCTGATAGATCTTCTTGGTTATGTCCACAGAGGCCAGGATGAAGCCCAGCATAATAGATTTCTTGTTGTTGTCTCTGTTTGTCTACATGCCCTATAATAAATAGTGGACAGCAAGTGCTGCTTAAATTTATGAGCCAATCAGCTAGCAGATGCTTGCAATGTCCTGCTTGGGCCTAAATCATAATTCATCCGATTGGCTGTCAAGGTGAAATAGATCTCCAAGCTGTGTGGACCATGTAGTTCAGGTGTTTGTTGCAACCCAGTCTGCTAAACATCCTGCAGAGAAGAGAGGAGGGAAGTTGTTAAACTTATGTCCCAAGACATGTCATTGAAGAATTTCTTAAGCACATCTTTTGAGGTTTTCTTTTTTTCTTCCAATCACTGTTAATCCTTTGATCTTTTCTTGAAATTTCCCAACAATCTTAACCTTTCGATATCCTTCATTTGCATCAATCCGTCTCTACCCTATGCTGTCTCTCTCAACAGTCTCTCAGTCTGTCAGCAGCATCGCTCCTTTATGTATCTCTCCTATCCCTGTCTGCTCTCCCCTAGAGTATTTATTACACTGCTAAGTGGGCCCGCCAGCTTTCTAGAGTGCTTCTAATAGAGGCAGCGACACAGAGTGAATAGTGATGCCACCTCCTCCACCTACGGGCTGGGTGATGGCTCCAAAAATATTATTATTCCTCTATAATCACTTGGAGCACATGTCTTTCAAATACCTTGCACTCAGGGTTGGATTTATTTATGAGAGAATAAGGGGATCAGACTGGACGAAATACAACGTTCTACCATATCTCTCTTTTTAATGATTTCTAAAACTAATTACATATTTCTTCTCTTTATTGGACTAGTACACAAGAGAGAACAGCATTTTTAAACATGAATAACAGCTACAACATCAGGAGGCCTGGAGTTTAAATAATCCATTTAATTTCCGGTTAATCATTAAGTCGCATAACTCAAAATGGCTTTACAATAATGCACCATGCTAACAAAGCTCTTCAGTTTGCTTGTGTTTAGAAAAACACAAACTTTGTCATTCTAAGTGAGGTGTTTCAGAATAAAGTCAGAGGAAGCAAAAAGATGCAATTTCAGGAAAAACAAGCGCTCTCTGTTTAGGTCTTTCTGCTCTTCCTTTAGGTTGCTACTTTAACAAGGAGCAGGAATTCAGCAGAGAGCAAAAATATTTCAGCAGTTTTACACTTTTTCTGTTGAGGTAAGGTAAGTCAAGGCAAGGAAAGTTTATTTATATGTATATTTATTTTTATAAAGCACATTTCAGTGGCAAGACAATTCAAAGTGCTGTACATGAGGAAACTAATTGAAAAAAGGGACATCCCAAATGCACAGAAGTGAAACAAAATCATTAAAATAAGATGATTAAAAAAGATACAAGTATTTTTTTTAAACCAAATGATTTTAAAAATTGAATTAAAGTTGAACTGGAAACTGAGCTAATATTGTTTAGATGGCACAGTTAAAGGCCACCCTTAAAAAAAACAAAAAAAAAAAAAAAACATTTTTCTTCCCTATTTAAAGCATAGTAGGGTTCCAGAGCATTAACATTTTCCGGGAGTTTATTCCCGATTAGTGGCTCATAAGAATTTAAAGATGCTTTTCCTTGTTTGGTTATGGGTGTGCAGGTTTGAACAAGAATAGTTTGAGGTCTGGGTGGTACATTCACTGATAGCACAGTAAGCATGTGAATGTACTTTGAAGCTATTCAGTGATTTATTGACTAAGTAAAGCATTTTAAAGTCTTTGTTCTGCGAGACAGGGAGCCAGTGGAGGGAGTTTAGAACTGGGATGATTTGCTCCACTTTCTTAGTTTTGGTTAAGATGTGGGTAGGAGCACTCTGCATTAGCTGCAGCTGTCTGATTTATTTTTTTCTATGCACACCTGTTCAGACACCTTTGGAAGATCACTTCTATTAAGATTAAAGCATGGATTAGTTTTTCAAGGTCCTGCTGAGACATTAGTCCTTTAATCCTGGAGATGTTCTTTAGCTGATAGAAGGTCTACTCTCAGTGAAGAGGTTGGATTTGGAAATATTGACAGCCTTTTGGAAATCTGCATTTGGGAAAGGATTTTTACTTTAAAGAAAATGAGACTGTTGTTAAAAATTACTAATACAATTGTGCTTGAAAGTTTATATACCCTACAGTTAAATAAAATTATAAATTCACAATAGTAATTTAAATAACAAAACTTAATTCTAAAAAGCAAAAAGCCCCATATTTGTTTTACTAGCAGCTGTTTTTTTCCTATCTTTAATGAAAGAG